ATAATAATAATAATAATAATAATAATAATGACCTTTTTTTTTACAATTTGGTCGGATTACAGCCCACATTTCAAGTGATCCAGCCCATAAACGGCGACCCATTCATCGGTAGCCTGGAGACCCCAATCACCTCCAGCCCACTCATCGCATGGTACCTCTCTAACCTACCAGCCTATCGAACAGCAGTAAGTCCATTACTTCGTGGCATCGAAGTGGGACTAGCCCATGGGTACCTCCTCGTCGGCCCCTTCGTAAAAACTGGCCCTCTCCGTAACACCGAGTACGCCGGCACCGCAGGCTCACTCGCCGCCGCCGGCCTCGTCGTCATCCTCACAATCTGCCTGAGCATGTACGGAATAGCAACCTTCAACGAAGGCGATCCATCAACGGCTCCAGCGCTGACACTCACAGGTCGGAAAAAGGTGGCTGATAAGCTACAGACGGCGGAGGGCTGGGCACAATTTTCCGGCGGTTTCTTCTTTGGAGGCATATCTGGTGTAATTTGGGCTTACTTTCTCCTTTATGTTCTTAACCTTCCATACTACATCAAGTAGATTTTGCTTGCTTTAGCGATTGGAATAATGTGTATGTAATGAATTTATATTGCTTTGGTGTTGAATATAAGTGACTTCTATGTTGGTTTTGGAATGGTTGGATCATTGTGAGTGATTTATTTAAGTATGAAATCATCAGATTTTCATCATTTGGAGGTTAGAAAATTTGAATTTTTGCTTTAAGCTCATATACTTCATTTGCTCCAAATAAGAGGTGTAATTGAGTCAAGCCAATCTGTGAGCCAGCTCGAGTTTGGCTAGATAAATTGCTTGTGAATCGAGCTAGGTGAGTTCATAAGTAGAACTTGAGTTAACCTCAACTCAAGTCATTATCTTATTTATTAGCTTGTTTAAAAAATATTGAGGCATAATATGCTTAAAAAAAAAACTAGTATTCAATAATATAAATAAAAAGTTAAAAAGTTTTCATAAAACTTATATTTCTATTACTTGTAGAAAGCAATTTTTTTATATATTTCTATTGCTTGCGTCAAAATTATTTATGTTGTATTTCATGATGAATGCTACATTGTTTGAACTTTATTATTAGAAACTATGGTTTCAATGTTGCTGTTTGGCAATAATTGAAATTATGTTTTAAAATGAGGCTTAAATGCATAATTTTTATATGAAATAAATAAAAATGAGCTTCTATTTTTTAAATTGTTTAATGCATATTAAAAGAAATTCTTTTATAAAAATATGAAAATTAGTTTATATTTCAGTTTTCAAAAGAGAGTAACAAAATAATATAAAATGAAATATGAAGGCTAAATAGCTCAATACTAAGAGAATAGTATTAAAAAAAAAAATTCTTTTCACTTGTAGCTAGTGGTAGAATGAAGAGGGTGCTTGGGGTTAAGTGGGGAGGGGGAGGAAATCACCCCTCAAGATTTTTGCTTTGATCCCAATATTTTTTTTGATAAACATCTTACTATCATATAATATATTTAAAGACTTGCCTCTCAAAAAAATAATTGCTTGATAAAAGTATTTATGTTTTAATAGTTATTAAATAATAGTTATTATTAAAATTTCTTGAGCTGTGTTGACCTCACTTTAGGTAAGGTCTACCCTCTCTCTCTCTCTCTCTCTCTCTCCCCCCACTCATTTAGACCATAGGATATAGCCTTAAAATTTCATTAGAGTCTCCCCTAGAATACTAATTGATGGTTGAGACCCAAATTTAGAAACTCTAGTCAATCCTCACTCCCTTTGATTTGAAGTACACAACTTTAATTCATTATTGAGTTGATTAATACTAGAGTATTCAAATTAAAGGTTAAGTACCTATAAGCCATTAAAGATGCCTCTAGGGAAAACTCATTGAGCCTAGAGACTTAACTCCATGGCTTGGATACTTTTTTTTGTCCTTAGTTTGTCTCATGGACTAAGTTGGTTAGAGCTAGCATTTTTGTATAGTGAACTTAGAAGAGATCCTGTGGGGCTCACTTTTTCTCTTCATGGCTTCTTTCTTTAGTTTGGAGTGAGCACAATTAGCTTAATGTTCACCTCGAACCATGGTTAAGCTAACCTCAAAAGCAAATTAAAGAAATAGAACACAAAATTAAAATCAAATTCATTTAAATTAAATTTAACCCAAAAAAATAAAAGATTAAATGCATAAAAAAACATGTCTTCGCTGATCCTGGGGAGTTGTAACGATCCATAAGAAAAGAGTGCGGTGAAGGAGGGCTCACTAATAGAAGACCATAAGGTTCACTTATTCAATTGGGTGAAGCTATCTGAGCCTAGCCAACAAGACAAAAGTATACTAAACCATGAGATAGATGAAACCACTTAGTCAAAAAATGAGATAAAAGAGTATTCAAGTTACTTATTATAAGAAAGGCAATCTAAGGGAAAAGCTACTTCCCTAGTATCTCCAACCATACATGGATGTCGAGAGGCTCCTTTTCAGAAGTTAAAGATCAATAGTTGGGCTATATCAACCAATTGTCCCATGTCGACCAGGTCCTTTTCAGAAGTTAAAGATCAATAGTTGGGTTATATCAACCAATAGTTGGACTAAGTCGATCTTAGCCGACCGAGCTAATCTTACTGACCTTAAGGCAATTAAGCTCAGTTGATCAATCCATAGAACAACCGATCAATAGGCTTGTACATGTGAAACATCACACAACCATTTCCTATAAATGAGGAGATCATTTCATGAATAAAATTTGATATATTATTGTTCATTATTGTTCACTTCTCTCTCTATTTCTTTCTCTCATTACTTTTGCTCTATTAATTTGGTTTGATTGATGGATAAATTAGGATTTAACAGCTTAAAAGATGTGGTGAGCATGTATCTTGCCACAGACAAGAACAGGAGCAACGAACAAAGAAGAAACCCACAATAAAGACATTGATAACATGGAGTGCACCATAAAATTTGCAAATTAGCATATCCAAGAGTTGAAGTATCTAATGTTGGATGCCATCTAAGATGTGTTGGCTGGTGAAGTGACCAACACCCATAAAAGAAAAGGTTGGTGCCCAACAGCCGAAGAGTCCCCAGACCATGAAAAGAGAAGGAAACTCCCAATACTTTGATACCGTTGGGTCGACAACGATGGACCAACACCTATTCTAGCATATATAGGCGCTCGATAGCCAAAGAATACATTTTCTTAGCAAATCACTTAGGAAGAGCCCTCTGAAAGTTTCAAAATCCCAACACTTGAGTCTAATAAGAGCAAGACTGAACTGACCGATCGCATAGTCTCATTTGAGCCAACTGTATGTTTAGTGAGGATTAGTACTTTGTTGAAATGTCATCCCTTCTTTACCACATTGAGGGAGTCGACCCTCAGTGGTTCAATGCATTATCACCGGCAATGATTGCATCATTTGTTAATTTCAAGTAAATGTTTGTGGAGTGGTTTTTTGGCACTCAAAGCCTTAGAATATTAACAGACCATCCTGCAAATTTGACAGGGACACATTGAGAGTTTTTGTTCATCATTACTCACTTCCAGAAGGAGATGTTGGATTGGCAAGATCTTAAAACAAATAGCTTATGCTGCCCAAGCTCAAGGGCTAAAGGAAGAACCTTTTGGTTGTGTTGGGTCTGTAGTGACCAAAAATGCCTGCCGAGTTGTTGGAGCCAGCCAACAACCACATATTGGCTAAGGAGTTTAACTCCAATCTCATTTCCTCCAAAATAGTTTTCCACCTATTGCCTGCAAAAGAAGGCCCATCGAGGCGAAGGCTAGTGTTTGAGGCATGATTCACGTCCTTCCACCTGCCTTACTATGAAAACACTCTGTAGCTCTAGGACCACAAGGCAAAATACAAAACTTTCCACTATGAGCTTCAGGCCAGATATCCTGACCAGCGGTCAGCTCGATACAATGAGTGCCCACTGCCTAACCATAAAGTACACCAAACAACTCCATGGAGATTATTTATGGTCGAGATAGTGGAGGTCTTCCAAAATAAAGATTATTTCAATAGAACACTCCTAATAAAAAATGAAGCTTACGTCTGGGACCCCAAAAAGTATTATACCAACCATCACAACCATGGTCGCTACATGAATGACTCTCAGCATCTCTGAGGCTTGATTGAAGAGCAGATCAAGTTTGAAAGCTTAAGGAGCTTGCAGCTCTAGGAGAAAAGACCCAATGGCAAGGGAAATCTCTTATATAAGAAATATTGGATTAGTCGGTCTAAGCCCACAGAATCCACATCGCTGGCATAGTCCTTGCTATCTTTGGAGGAGGTGGAGATTCATCCCGTTAGGCCATTCTGAGAGGCTTTGGTCAGGAGAACTATGTGTAGCCATCCTCGCCCCAAATGTAGCTCGCATCCCCATTGCTTTTACAAATGAAGATCTTCCACCTATAGGTAATCCTTACAATGACAACATCATTGTCACCATGATGATCAGAACCTACTAAATTCATAGCATTCTAATCGGCACTAACAGTTATGTGAACATCTTATTCAAGTCAATGATTAATAAGATGGGCCTCAGTAACGACCAAATAACCATGGTGATAAACCCACTAAAGGAAAAGCTATGAACCATCACTCTATTGGTATCTTAGGGAGAGAGAGATAAGCAAATTACCAATATCAAAAAACTTCATGGTGCCACTTATAATGCTATCTTTGGCCATCCCTTGTTCAACTTCTTCAAGCATATATTATTTAGTTTTGAATTTCCCAAGCGAAGGGAAGGTAATCATTGTCTGAGGTAATCTTGTGCAGTCATGCACCAATTATCTCTGGATGGGTGAAAGCATCAAAAAGGAGTTGGTTAAGTTTGACAATATGCATGAAGGGGGTTTTGAGACTAGTGAGACCACCTATCAGATCTTGGCTACTAAGGGCAAGACTGGTAAAATTTTTCTAATAAGTGAAGTATTATTCATGGTCAAAATATATGTTGATTGATACTATCTGGGAACATTGGGACACTTCAATTTTGTCCGCCAATAAAATATTAGGGATATTGATTAATATCGTGTGAAACAATCTAAAAATCAATCATGTAGGCTGACCAATGAACCAAAAGATGTGGCCACTAGGTGACACTTTGATTGAGACAATCTGAGAAGAAGTTTCAAAGGTATTTGGAGGTTGTCTGTGTTTTAGAGGACCAACACTAGACATGGATTTCCAATGTAGTCATGGTGCATAAGCCAAAAGAATATGAAGGATGTGCAAGGACTTAACTGACCTGAATAGTTTTTACCTAAAGGACAACCACCGCTAACTTCGAATTGATGCAATTGTGGATGCAGCGATTAACCATTATCTGATGAGCTTCCTCATTGCATTCTCTAACTACCACTAGATCAAAATGCACCCTATCGATGCAGAGAAAGTTACGTTCATCACTAGTGAGGTAGTGTACTATTATATTGTAGTGTCATTCAGGGTGTCCAAAAATAAGAAAATGTCTGATCAACACATTTAGGTATATTTGGATGATGTTTTGAAAAAAAACAAAAAATGCCTAATCAACACATCAAAGATCTAAAATAAAATTTTAAAACACTCACAAAATATAATATGAGACTCAATTCACTCAAGCACACCTTCGTGGCATCCACAAATATGTTTTTAGGCTACCTCCTAACCACCTCGGAGGGAACAAAGACTAATCTAGAAAAGGTGCAAACAGTGATCAATATGTCGTCCCTCCTGATGGATCACAGGCTCGAGTTAATTCATCTCAAAATTGAGTGATAAGTGCATCGCCTTTTTCAAAGCCTTAAGGCATGCAAAGAGTTTTATTTGGATGGATGAATAGGAGAAAGCATTAAAAAAACTAAAGCTCTCCGTATACTTGAGGGTTTCTCTTGAAGCCATTAGCTTTGTTTTAGTTTGAGAAGAACTAAGGAAGAAGATCTGAGTTTGCTATGTCAATTGAGTCCTCTGAGACGTGAAGCTCAGCTATCACATTATGAAAAAAATTAATATTTGCTCTTATTTTTTCCACATACACCCTTTTCTCATATTTCCAAATGCATCCGACTAGCATCATCATCAATAACCTACTCAAATTTTCCTCACTAGGCTAGAGCACTCAATGGGCTCTTCAAATGGGCAGTGAAACTCAACGAATTTGTTCTCTCTTACATGCCCAGACCACAAGCAAAGCACAAGCCATAAAATATTTCCTGGCCATTTTTTTCAAATCAAGCAAGACAAACAAAGAAATGACAACTGATGGTCATACATGAGTCTTACAAATTGACGGAGTGTGTATTCAAATTGGGTAGGGCTCAATGTTACTCTAATCAATTCAACCAAGGACCATCTGTACCACTCGATAGACGTTGGATTTGAAATCACCAACAATCAAGCTAAATATGAAGCTCTCACTGTTAGTCTACAGTTTGATTCCTGGATGGGCGCTAAGCACCTCCTAGTGAAATCTGATTCAAAGTTAGTGGTGAATTAGGTGAACAAGGAATTCAAGATCGGATATTAGATGATGACCAAATACCTCAACAAATTCAAAACGGAGAAAGAGAAATTCAAAGGCTTCAGTATTGCACATTTCTCTCCACTGGACAACCAAGTGGTAGAGCTATCCAAGTGCATTCACTTCAGGGAAGGATTCCTTAAAAGCTTGTCTAATTGACCATTAAGGAAGCCAATGTGATGGGATTGGAAACTAAGGAGATAAAAAGTTAGGTGAATCCTTACATCTTGTACCTTGAGATCGAGATTGTCTCAGGAGTTACTGATCTAAAGTGCTTCAAGTGGTACACTCTAAAGACCGGTCACATCCTTGTACCTGAAGTGCATACAAAAAGATGAGACAGAGAATGTCCTTTAAGAGGTACACTCTAAAGTGTAGAAGCTCTTCTAGAAGAAAAAAACTTTGGCAGATTAAGTACAATGACGAAGTTATTTGTGGTCAATGCTTCAAAAAAAATGTTGAGGGATTCTTAGCAAGCTGCAAAGAATGTCAGAAATACAACCACTATAGCCCATCTTCAACTCATAGTCTTTTGTCTTCTGATAACTCAACATCCTTAAACCCTTTCCCCCATTGCGAGACCAACCAAAATTTTTACTCGTTGACGTTGATTGAAGCTAAGATGTTTGCTCGGATCACTATAGAGATCGTTCAAAACCTTATCTGCATGGATCTGATCTACCAATATGGGCTACCACACATCATCACATACATAATGAAATACAATTTGCTCACTAGGAGGTAAACGATTTTTGCCAATGTTAGGGAATTTGTCTTAATTTTGCATCCGGTCATAACCCTCAAACAAATTGATATGTTGAAGTAGCCAACAAGATCATCTTCAACATATTAAGGAAAAAAATTGAAGGAGTTGGAAAAATTTAGGCCAAAACTATTTCATTTGTTCTTTGGATAGTCCAAATGACATCTTTCACGATGACCTAGCAAACTCCATTCACGATGTCACATAAAATGGATGCAATGTTTTTGATCGAATATAAGCATAACAACGAAAGAGTGATGGCAGTCCTAACATTTTATGAAGGAAATTTAGTTGAGTGACAGGAAGCAAATGATGAGGGGATATAAGGCTCGTGCTTGACATTGCTGATGAAAAACTAATATACTCAACCCTTCGAGAGAAAGAGATGAAGTGGCGAATGACTTGGTACTACAAAAAAACACATCTATAAAAAACTAGCATCAATACATTTTAATTAAATTAAAGAAATCATAATTAACTTACACTTAGCATCTCAATTAATTATTAATTAGCAAATTATTAAGCTCTTGAAATAATCATTTTATTCAGAAAAACAAAATCAATTCAAGTATTTTAATGTCTTTTTTATTGAGCAATATTAAGGACTAAAAATAATTAATTTTATAATTAATTAAATTATATTTAATGTTTTAATTAATTATTAATAATTTATCAGATTTTCTTAATCAATTCTAACTATAATTGATAAATTGTTATTATAAAAAATAACATATAAATTTATTATCAATTAATAATGTAAAAATTAATTTAAATAAAATATTTTAATTAAGCAGGACACAGATAATATTAATTTATTTAATTAATTTATATTAATTAACTAAAAATTGTTTATAATTTACAAGATGTTTTATTAAAAACATAGGGCTTCTCATACCGTTGTGCAGGTTCGGTATCCCCAACGACCGACGCCGAAGTAGCGGGGAAATCGCGACGGGGGACTTCGCTGGGATCGCCTTAATCCTGCAGGCAAACAGCCGTAGAAGGTTGGCTTTAGAATCTCCAAAGAAATACATCTAGGTCGCGCACGCCGGAGATGCCGACAAGCGGCGGCAATAGCGGTGGTCGGCGCGGCGCCCAGATCCAGCGTCCGTCGCTGATAACAAGAGCGGTCAACTCAGTCTTCAGTTTTGTTCGCTTGGCCGAGTTCGAGATCCTTTTCTTCGTTTTCTTCGTAATCGCCTTCCTCAAATTCAAGGATTTGGTGAGTTCCCAAGTATTGCTTCCTTAGTATTGCTTCCTTATCTTGATGACAGAAAACTGGCGAATTGAATCTGTTTTACTTTTTTTGCTACCTTATAATGCAGAACTAAGCTGATGATAAAAATTGTGAGATTTTGGCCTGTGTATTGCTTGTTTGTTCTTGTAAATCTAAGTTGATGATAAAAATTGCGAAACATTTTGGGGAAAACTAAGTTAAAAAAGGATAGTTGAGCTCGAACATGGTAGGTTATTGTTTTAGAAATAGGATTGAACGTAGAATTGGGTGATAAGAAGGATCAATTAGTTGAGCTAGAACATTTATTTAATTCAAGGGCACAATAAAATTCTCAGAGCAGGAAGTCCTCAAATCATCAAATTGCTAATTTATTTGTCTTAGCACAGCAAATTTTTGCTTTCCGCGAGCGTTAACCTTCAAATCTCCATTAATCATCCACTCTCTTCGAGATCTCAGCGCCCTGCAATTCAATAATTTTGATAGGACTGAGGTGCTCAAAAACATTACAAACTGGTCTCTGTGGATAGTTCAATGACCAATTTATATCATTAGCTGGACCTAATAGATATATCTTAATGTATAAATATATAAATCCAGCGAGATGCAAAACACATTGGTTATTTGTGGATTGTAACATTGGTATGAAACTATGAATTGCACTATTCATGACACATATGTGAAAATGTTTATTCATATATCCTATTATTTTTAATGGGGATTTACAAACATAGCATGCAATTCTTATGTATTTACAAATCTAACACCTAAACATTCATATGCATACCACTCAAATCTATAACATTACATAAAAGATACCACCATCACCATCTTTTTAAAATTAAAATACACCTTATAACATAGGTTTATGATTCCATGGTATTATAAGTATAAATATCAAATTTTGGGTGGTAGATATGTAAATACATAAGAATTGAGTGGTATGTATCTGCATTTCCCTTTTTTATATATCCAGAATGTTATGTTTTTAGAATGCTTCTATGGTGTTGGTATTGTATGAGTGTTTTCTTGCAGCAATATATGGTCCTTTTCTCTTCTAGGATCAAGATTTGACATAAATTGACTTAAAATGATGAAAATAGTGGAATATCTTTCCTCTTTCATGCAATGATAAAAACCCAACTTGGGATAAATCTTAAATGAGGCAAAGGACAGGAATGTGAATTGCCTTTTGCTTTTTTTCTTCTTCTTCTTCAATAAATAGATTAGATTTTTGTGGTATTACTTGTAATTTCTGCAGTGTTAATAAATATGCCCATTTTATGTATCTTGTTAACTTTTGCAATCACTCCCTTCAGCTTGCTAGCCGAAATACTTTCTTGGAGTTGTTCATTTGATGTTATCAAAATAGAAATGTTATCTAGAAGCCAATGCTATAAAGATTTCTAAGTTATCTATTGAATATAAAGTGTATGGTATTATTTTGAGTAATCGATGGTGATTTTAGCCTCCTACATTTTCCCCCTTATATTTTAACCTTGAAGATTGACTAATTTAAATAGCACCCATTTTTGCTGCTGTATACATTGTCTTATTAATCTTGGATGCTATGTGTTATCTAGATAACCTTAAATTTGAAGATAAAATCATGAAAAAGTAAACAAACAAACTCTAATTTAACCAAATAGCCTTTTGGCTTTTTTCCTTTAAGCATTGCAATCAAATTGAAGCTTCTTGTATATGTCTTTGGGTGCCACATTTTGTTTATGCCTCCCATCTATATTTTATTAGATATTATAATTAAATTATTTTGTAACATTTTAATATGATATTTTAAAGGTTGAACTTCTTTTTGCGCTTTCTATCACAAACCGCCCACTATATAGATCCTATCCTAATATTAGTTTCATTAGTTTCATTTGATATACCATTGAGAGTGCCTATACTCTTATCTATCATAGGAACTCATGGAAAGCCTAGCTGGAGGGTGTCAGGTGAAAATCAAGGAATAATTTAAATCAAAATAATATAATTTTAACAATATTTTTGTCAACGGGCAAGATAATCAGAATATCTAAATCCAGTAAAACCTCAATTAATTTCCCATTTAATAAATAAAATTGGGGAATTACTTTATAGTGTATAAGACTTTATCACAAATTAAATCATCAATGAATATTAAATTAACCTATGAAAATATTATATACAAAGCGCCAGGCCTAAGAAATAACTGCAAACATCGCATCATGATTAGTGATCATGTGACAATCTCAAAAATTAGCATATGCTTACCACGAAATCACATTACAAACACAGAATCGGCTCATAGTTCTTCCTAATTCAATTAAAAAATATAAAATAAAGCTAGCACTTCTTTATTTAAACAATTTTTTAGTATCAGATTGTATAACAAGCAAAATAAGGAACCAATCACATATTAATACACCTAATCGGACAATAATAAAATATATATATATAATAGAATAACTAATATATATATCTATCAAGAGAATAACTAACTATTGCAATCATTCCAATCAAGCTTAATATATGGGTATAATTGATTGCCTAAATAGTAAATATTTACTAGACATCAACATCATGAAGTAAGCTAATATTTTAGCAATATCTAATTCAGCATGATTAAGATTTCCTTTATGTGGTAAAATTAATACAATAGATCATGCATCAATTATTCAATATATTCTAACTTTTACCTTGAACATCTTTATGTGAAAGAACGTGCAAATTTATGTTGGCCAACCAGTCGGAGCATACACATGCCACTCATTTCATTGCTCTTAATGAATAAAAATATGCTTAAAACACAACATCGCCACCAGCATTACTGTATGACAAAAGTTATTTTAATCAGTGTGCTAATCAAATCAATAGATGGCAATATAAATAACCATTATACTTTAAATGAACTTATTTGCAATAATGCTAGGTATATATAATTTTCTAAACAACACAATTCTATAATGAGTATTACTGTAAGTATCATGTAAGACATAAAAAACTACGCAAATGCAACTTCTATATGATAAGCATATTCCATTTCAATTAAGCATAGGTAAATGTCTACAACCTTATCATATATAAACTCCGACTTATACTCATCCTTTTAATCTATACTCATAGTATAATCTGATCTATTTAATGCTGCTATAAAATTCAAAAATTTATGTCAAATGTTAATTTCATTCCTCCACTCATATTGCTTATTAAATCCTTCAAATGATACTCAAACCATTTAAAACCTCTAATATAGTAAAATCATATCCTTACTTATAAATGTCTAATTTTCATGAAAGCTCAATATAAATTCTTACAAAATTCTCTTCTCATCATTCAAAAAATTACAATTAACCAAATAAAATCTCTCAACTGGAGTAACAAGACTAAGCAAATGTAAAACCTCCAATTTCTCATTCATTGATACCTGCATCTCTGTAGAAATGCTAATATTCATAAGATCTTAAACATCTATCTATAGGAAATTTTATATAGACTAAACCTAGAGGATAAAAACTAAGGCTTTGATACTACTCTATCGCATCTTGCCTATTGGGTGTAAAAAGAACTCATGGAAAATCCAACAAAAGAATGTGAGATAAAAGTTAAGAAATAATTCCAATTACCATAAGTATCATTTCAATAATATTTATATCCACCAATAAGATCATCAGGATATCTAAATCTAATAAAACTAAATTAATTCACCCATCTATAAATAAAATTCAACTATTGTAAAACCTTAGCCAACATTGCCATTGTCGAGTCCCAAGCCTCGGATGCGAAAAATGAAGGGCTGCGTTAAGTAGTTGACACCAGCATAAAGTTTTTGTAAAAAATTATGACATGAATCTTTTAAATCATTGTATAAATGCTAGTATGTCTCTTGGAAGTGACATACTGTATGTATTGAATATAGTAAAAAGTGTGCAAGGGTCGCTGTTTTGGTGTCCGGGTGTAGTTTTATAAGTAAGGGTTTTCATATTAAGGACAGATGTAGGGACAAAGAAGTCGGTCTATGAAACTAATATTTTGATAGGAACTTAGAATATAGGTTCTCTCACAGTAATTTAATGGAATTAGTAGATATTATGGATCATAGAAATATAGATATTTTATGCATTCAAGAAACTAAATGATTTGGAGAAAAAAAACTAAGAAGATTGATAGCTTAGGTTTTAAACTTCGGTATTCATGTAGGATTCATACTAGAAATGGTGTCGGTGTAATTGTAAATAAGTGTTTGAAAGATTATGTTATAAAAATTAATAGAATTGAAGATATAATTATAGTCATAAAGATTGTTATTGATACTAATATATTTAATGTTATAAAGATTAATACTTCTCAAGTAGTTTTAAAAATATGTTCAAAAGAAAAAAATTAAAATGACCTTGAAGAATTAATACAAATGATACCACTTGAATATATAGATATAGATATAGATATATAATTTGTTTACTACATCTTCCTAAAACCATGAACTTCAGGTACTAATCCCAATGAAATCTGATGATTTTTTATAAGGTCATTGCTTTATGGACCCGTTGGCACAACTCTAACTAGGTTCAACCTACAATACATATATCATACATACAATCATATACATATAATTTTATTTTCAGTTAAAGGTTACACAATGAAGATTATATCATTATTAATTCATGATTTGTAATAGTAGTAAATAGTTCTATGTAATCATAATTAAGTTCATAATTTTTTTTAGAAATTTGTGCAATAAATAAAATCTCTAATATCAGAACCATACAAAGCACCATGAATAAATAAGCATATTTCTCAACATTTTATCAACTATTAAAAATTTATCAACAAGCATTAAGGAATATGCCACTAATAAATAAGAGTATGTTTATTCCTTACTCGCTAAAGGGCCACCTATCGAATTAGATAGCAGGCAGTCCTCTTTAGATTATGATGTTGATTTTTTACTTCAACATATAGTGCTCCATGAACTTTAGATTCAAAAGAATCAACATCATTCATGCATTTAAGACCTTGCATATCAAAATATTAAATGATTATAATAATTAATTAAACACATTTGTAAATTGATGATTCAACATATCTCTCCTGATTTATGCTTGAATTATCATTCCTAAAAGATTATGATTTATTTAATGGTTTCAATGTGGCTTAATAAAACCTTAGCAGATTTTTAAGGTTCAATTCTCATAGAATTTATTTAAATATTAATTATGAAATATATACACATTTAAACTAACTTATCTCAAGAAATGAAATTGCCTTTCTTCTGCAATATTAGATGGGTTTATTCGTTAGCCTTAAATATATATCTATAGCCATGATCCCCAATCCTCATTATTTTCTCAAACTAATTAAGTTATAATACAAAAATTATACCTAACCATGTTAAGGCCCGCAAGGCTAAATGCATAAACAAAGAGGTAATAAAAAATAAAACTCCTCAAACCCTCTCCATTTAATCACTTAAAAAATGTTGCATAAATATAAAATTGCCTTGGATTTAATTTCACCTCAAACTTTATTAATATAAACAAGTAAATGTTAATTTAGAAGGAGAAGCTAATTTAGAGTTATTACCATTTTTAAGTAAATCAAGCTGAAGATATGTGGTAATTAGAAGAAGAGAGAAAAAAGATGAAGACGAAGAAGAGGCATCAACATTCCCTTCCATCTTCTCCTTGCTTGGCGGCTTTTCTAATGACTTTGTCAAAGGCATCAAGGAGTCAGAGTTGGTAACTATGGAATCGGAAGCCCCTCTTTAGATCACGAAACATTGATCCTCACTTTCTTATGTTTGGTCTCCACATGATCACAGCCGCATTCTCTCCTCTCTTCTGCTCGTTTGTTCGGCCTCTACCCGAATATCCCAACTCCGGTTAAATAACGAAGAGAGGAACAAAGGTGAATTAGGCGGTTTGGTTTGACTTGATAACTGGATGGATCCATATCATTTCAATAATATTTATATCCACCAATAAGATAATCAGGATATCTAAATCTAATAAAACTAAATCAATTCACCCATCTATAAATAAAATTTAACTATTGTAAGACCTTAGCCAACATTGCCATTGTCGAGTCCCAAGCCTCGGATGCGAAAAATGAAGGGCTGCATTAAGTAGTTGACACCAGCATAAATTTTTTGTAAGAAATTATGACATGAATCTTTTAAATCATTGTATAAATGTTAGTATGCCTCTTGGAAGTGACATACTGTATGAACTGAATACAGTAAAAAATGTGCAAGGGTCGTAAGGGTCGCTGTTTTGGTGTCCGGGTGTAGTTTTATAAGTAAGGGTTTTCATATTAAGGACAGATGTAGGGACAAAGAAGTCGGTCTATGAAACTAATATTTTGATAGGAACTTAGAATATAGGTTCTCTCACAGTAATTTAATGGAATTAGTAGATATTATGGATCATAGAAATATAGATATTTTATGCATTCAAGAAACTAAATGATTTGGAGAAAAAAAACTAAGAAGATTGATAGCTTAGGTTTTAAACTTTGGTATTCATGTAGGATTCGTACTAGAAATGGTGTCGGTGTAATTATAAATAAGTGTTTGAAAGATAATGTTATAAAAATTAATAGAATTGAAGATATAATTATAGTCATAAAGATTGTTATTGATACTAATATATTTAATGTTATAAAGATTAATACTTCTCAAGTAGTTTTAAAGATATGTTCAAAAGAAAAAAAATTGGAATGACCTTGAAGAATTAATACAAAGGATACCTCTTGAATATATAGATATAGATATAGATATAAAATTTGTTTACTACATCGTCCTAAAACCATGAACTTCAGGTACTAATCCCAACGAAATCTGATGATTTTTTATAAGGTCATTGCTCTATGGACCCATTGGCACAACTCTAAATAGGTTCAACCTACAATACATATACCATACATACAATCATATACATATAATTTTATTTTCAGTTAAAGGTTACACAATGAAGATTATATCATTATTAATTCATGATTTGTAATAGTAGTAAATAGTTCTATGTAATCATAATTAAGTTCATAATTTTTTTTAGAAATTTGTGCAATAAATAAAATCTCTAATATCAGAACCATACAAAGCACCATGAATAAATAAGCATATTTCTCAACATTTTATCAACTATTAAAAATTTATCAACAAGCATTAAGGAATATGCCACTAATAAATAAGAGTATGTTTATTCCTTACTCGCTAAAGGGCCACCTATCGAATTAGATAGCAGGCAGTCCTCTTTAGATTATGATGTTGATTTTTTACTTCAACATATAGTGCTCCATGAACTTTAGATTCAAAAGAATCAACATCATTCATGCATTTAAGACCTTGCATATCAAAATATTAAATGATTATAATAATTAATTGAACACATTTGTAAATTGATGATTCAACATATCTCTCCTGATTTATGCTTGAATAATCATCCCTAAAAGATTATGATTTATTTAATGGTTTCAATGTGACTTAATAAAACCTTAGCAGATTTTTTAAGGTTCAATTCTCATAGAATTTATTTAAATATTAATTATGAAATATATACACATTTAAACTAACTCATCTCAACAAATGAAATTGCCTTTCTTCTGCAATATAAGATGGGTTTATTCGTTAGCCTTAAATATATATCTATAGCCATGATCCCCAATCCTCATTATTTTCTCAAACTAATTAAGTTATAATTCAAAAATTATACCTAACCATGTTAAGGACCGCAAGGTTAAATGCATAAACAAAGAGATAATAAAAATCAAAACTCCTCAAACCCTCTCCATTTAATCACTTAAAAAATGTTGCATAAATATAAAATTGCCTTGGATTTAATTTCACCTCAAACTTTATTAATATAAACAAGTAAATGTTAATTTAGAAGGAGAAGCTAATTTAGAGTTATTACCATTTTTAAGTAAATCAAGCTGAAGATATGTGGTAATTAGAAGCAGAGAGAAAAAAGATGAAGACGAAGAAGAGGCATCAACATTCCCTTCCATCTTCTCCTTGCTTGGCGGCTTTTCTAATGACTTTGTCAAAAGCATCAAGGAGTCAGAGTTGGTAACTATGGAATCGGAAGCCCCTCTTTAGATCACGAATCGCATGCCCTACGAAGTAAACATTGATCCTCACTTTCTTATGTTTGGTCGCCGCATGATCACAGCCGCATTCTCTCCTCTCTTCTGCTCGTGTGTTCGGCCTCTACCCGAATATCCCAACTTCAGTTAAATAACGAAGAGAGGAACAAAGGTGAATTGGGCGGTTTGGTTTGACTTGATAACTGGATGGATCCAACACCAGTTATTACACATTCTTTGCACATGCTTTGATGCAATTTACCTGAAACCTGTTTTCAAAAAAGAGGAATGATTTATCCTCTTTTTAATATACTGATTTTCATGAAGTCTTGTTTTGCATGGAATCACGCCCTTCTTTCTAATTGGAGTCTGAATTCTTCAATCATGGCAATCCGATTGAAGCATATATTCATTCATTTATGCCTCTAAATTTTATAGTATCTTATTTAGTATTTAAGATTTCTTGCTTGCTAGAAAATTTTCAACGGTAAAGAAATTTCAAGTCTTAGCTCGGTAGAAATATAAGATAACAAAATTTTTACATGAAAAAATGTTGGAAAGGGAAAAAAGTTGCAAGGTCTTGCCCAATCAAAGCTCAACTAGTGCTCATTTATTTCTCTTCAAGAGTTATGCTTTACCTGTCAGCTCAGTCTTTCTCTTCTCATCCCCTCTTCAAGTGAAGAATGAGCGATCTATTTATAATTTTTGAGAGGGGTATTTCAGTAAATTTAGCTATAATCTCAAAACACTATATCAGATGCATTCTTGAAAAAAATTAGAATTAAAATTCTCACCGTAGTTCTTAGAAAAATTATTTTTTCCCACAACAACTTTTTAACCACCATTATCAAAAATTGCAGCCGTCCCAAATGAACTCTAATTCTCTATATATCTTGATTTATTGATTTTTCTATGCTGATTCTCCAAGCACTCTAAAAACTCTATATACTGTCATCATCTAATTGTAACTCACTACTTCAATGACTTCTATCTAGGTTGTAAACAAGCATTATTCTTTTTCTCCATGCCCATTTATATGATTCCCAGTTCTCACAAGATTATCATTTCAGTTTTGAGTTTCAAAGCACTTAAGGATCTTGATTTTAAATTTATTCAAACTCTTGAGAATATATATATTAATGCAGATATCACGCCCCGAATACAATCAGATATTTGTGAAGAAGCCTATTGATGACAGTGACGAATGGCCTTACTGATTCTTCTTGACTCTGACCATGTGCTGTTGCAGCATAATGGCATCAACCTTGGTCCAACACTGGCATATGTTTTTATTATAAGTAATGTCTGCAAACTGCTATAAAAAAAGGTAGTATGGTTTGTAATCCCTTGCTTTTTCTGTCTCTCTCACGGAAAATATTTGTGTACGTAAGACGTACGCAGCGCTGCGTACGTCGGGAGGTTATTCAAAGGGTATGGGGGGTTATATCTGCGTTATACCACTTGTAATTTTCTTATAACCTACCTGTAACCTACAAATATGTTCTTCGCTTTTGTAGTTCCGGTAGGTACAGGTAAGTTACAGGGTGGTTACAGGGGGTATAATGCGAATATAACCCCCCTATACCCTCTGGATAACCTCCCGACGCACGCAGCGCTGCGTGCGTCTTACGTACGCAAATATTTTCCCTCTCTCACACACACAAACTCTGCGCTTTTGTAAAGAATTTTGATTCTTAATGTTTGTTGGCTTGAAAAAGATTTATGGTCTGAAGTTCTGATAACAACTGAGATGAAAATTAATGGTTGGTGTGTCCTTCGAATAAAGGGGAGTTGGATGACTAATTGGAGCTACAATTTTTATATTTATTGTTCCCTTACATAAATGTTTCTTTTGAGAATCTAAAATTCTTTATGCAGATTTTAGGATTTTATGAATACCTTAGTATTCAGCACTAAAAATTCTATCTTCTCTCTTCTTCCAAAGTGAAAAATGGAAGGAATGAGTGTGTTTATGGAGCGCATATTACGTCAAGACTCCGAACGTAGAGGTACGTTCGGATTCCAATAGTAGTTGTGTTATTGGAATATTTCGTTGTGTTACAAGAATATTCCATCAGTGTTATTTGTAAAAAAATGAACTGTTATTTAAGAATTATGTGGTGTTATTTGATTACTTTGCAGTATATTCATCTGCGTTACTTGATTTGGGGCTATGTTATTCGGCATATTCCCCTTGTTGTTTCAATTTTCACTATGTTATTATTGGAATAGCACAGCCTCAAATCAAGTAATGCGGGGGAATATTCAAATAACGCTTCATTTTTCACAAATAACGCTGGCGGAATATTCCTATAACACAGTAGAATATTCCTATAACACAGCGACTAACTCTACGTTCGGAGTCCTGACGTAATATTTTTTTTTCGTGTTTATGAGAGTTCATTTGATTCTTTTTATGTAGATAATATATTTTTTAAAAATAATGAATTTTTTTCTATATATATTGATTTTTTGTTCTGTATATAGTAAATTAATAAACTAATAATTTATAGGGATTTAGATGATGTAGAATTTAAATGTGTTAATTTCTACACAAAATTCAGTATGGCAGCCATTCTTGAAGAAGTTTTGAGGTTATGGAGCTGAAATTCATACTTGCTTTAAATTATATTCAATTAAATGATTATTTTTATCATTTTTAATGTGAAGCAGCCATGTAAGCCAAATGAAAATTCTCAGGTTTTTGCAGAGAGATTTTAAGGGAAATTCATGTATGATTCTTATGTATTTACATCTCTCGTACGTAAACTCTCGTATTTACATAGATAACACTTCGCTGTTTCACGTCAATGCACGAAAAATGTGTATTTCAGTCATCTTAAAATGTAGAAAGTGATGCTATTTTCAATTTGATATTTACATATTTGCTTGATTTGTATGTAAATATTCCAACTATGAGTAGAAAATCAGCACAAATTATGTTTTTGGTATTTAATTGAAATTAATGATTCAGGCCACTTTCTACCTTAAAATTGTTCATCTAGTAAACTTACACCTCCAATGTACAAAATCTTCTTTGATAAAAAAACTCATGACTACCCTTTGAGAATCTCATAGTTAAATTAAATAAACTATTTTTAAAAGATGAAGTACATTTAAATATCTAGGAATATATATTTATTAGATAAATTAAATAAGTGCATTTAAATACTTATCACCCAATTCTAACATATTTACATATCTAACACCTTTTTTTTTTTTATTTTTTATTATTATTATTATTTTTTTTTTTTACATTTATGCCACCTAAATCTTTCATGTCACATCAGAAGTGTCGTTATTTTATTTATTAAAAAGAAAAATACAGTGTTAGGTGGCATATATTTAAAATTTGAAATCTTGATATTAGATATGTAAATACATAAGAATTGAGTGGTTTATATGTAAATGTTCCATATTATGCATGCTGTCTCCAGATTGCATTTTGTATAAATCCATTCTTGGCCTCTTGTACAAACATCAACTGCAAAGCTGTAAGAAACGTAGCTGTAAACATCTAATATTTGAATCATTTATGTTCCATATTATGCATGCTGTCTCCAGATTGCATGTTGTGTAAATCCATTCTTGGCCTCTTGTACCAACATCAACTGCAAAGCTGTAAGAAACGTAGAAGTAAACATCTAATATTTGAATCTTTGATCTAATATTTGAATCATTTTACGCTAAAATGCTCAATTCCAAGGACCAATATGGACCCCAACGCACTTTAATCTTTTTACATTTTTAACCTTAGTACTAGGGCTGTAAACGAGCCGAGCTTGAGCGAGCTCAGGCGTGGCTCGTGTTCGGCTCGTTCGAAATAGCTCGTGTTCGAAATCGGCTCGTGAACAGTGTTTTCGTATTCGGCTCGATTTAAATATTCGTGTTCGGCTCGAAATTGACTCGTTAAACTTAAATTGAGAAAAATAGATATAAAGTGTGAGATTCGAACCTGGATCAAATATATACAAAAGAAGACACTAACCACATTGTCACATGAGGTGCTATGACTTAAACTTAGACATAAATATATATAATATATTATTATATAAATAATATATGTAATATATTGTTATATAAAAACTTATATAATTCTTTTATTTCGAGCTAAAACGAGCCGAACACGAGCGAACAAAGAGTTATTCGTGTTCGGCTCGTTTATAATTCGAGCTTTAAAATTTTGTTTGTGTTCGGCTCATATACTTAACAAACGAGTCGAACACGAGCTACTTAACGAACCGAACACGAGTTGTTCGCGAACAACAAGCTTTTTTGACAGCCCTACTTAGTATGTCATTTTGCTTTTCCTTTTTCATCTTCTAAACTAAAACATTTATTCAAATTATCATTGGATTTTAAAGAAGTGGTGATTTTATAATTATAAAATAAAATGCTCTTTTATTACTATATTAGTGCTCAAAAGTCTACATTTAAATAACAAAACCCAAAATCTTAAAATCATAGCAAAAGCATTGATTTTATGCTGGATAATTTGTTATATTATTAATAATTTTAATTATGTCACTAAAAAAAAATATAGGTTTATTAGCTCATTTTGAATGCTTGAATGCTGATTTCATGAACATATTACCGATAAATATTAATTTTTTTATTTGATGTTTTCAGTGCCATGCAATAAAGGATAAAGTAGGGCATTTACATACATAGCACACTATTCTTGTGTATTTACATATCTCATCACCTAAATTTTCATATTTACACACATAACACTCGAATCATTAATAATATTATCATAATATTTAAAAATCAAATATACACTTTTTCATTTATATGTTTAAAATGTACGTAAATATCAAAGTTTTGGTGTTGAAAATCCCAATTTTATAAAAATAAAAATAAAAAACTTAATATTTCAAGGAATAGACATGCTGTAATTTTACATAAAAAAGCCTCTTGTCCAATATAAAAAAAAATATTCGTTAGGACTCCGACGTAGAGCTACGTTCGGATTACAATAGTCGTTGTGTTATAGAAATATCCCGCTGTGTTATGAAAATATTTCAATTGCGTTATTTATGGAAAAGGAAGTGCTATTGGAATAGTTCCCCGCGTTACTTGATTTGGGGCTCTGTTATTTCAATAACATAGTGAAAATTGAAATAACACGGGGAATATGTCGAATAACACAACCCCAAATCAAGTAATGCGGGGGAATATTCAAATAACACCGCAAAGTAATCGAATAACATCACATAATACTCGAATAATACTTCATTTTTTTCGAATAGTCTTTACGAAGTCCTGACAAATATGTGCTCCCAATGTAATTTCCTCTCTTTACCTCGCTAGCCGGCCATCTCAATCATGGCAGAAACCTCTTCTTCCATTATGTGAACTCTCCCTCTCAAATTACCAATTCCATCCCCAACCCTCCTTTCCCTCTCTTCTCCTCATCCCACCCAAAAGATGCCTCCTTTCTCTCACATTCCATTTCTCCTCCTCCTCCTCCTCCCTCTCCTCTTCATCTCCTCCATCTCCACCGATCCCCTCTTCTCCCCTGTAAGTCCCCTGCTCCCATTAACCACCTTTTCATCGTTTCACAAAGCTGCAATTTTTTTTTGCAGGGAACTGAAATGGCGACAACAGCAGCTACGCCGGAGATGCGGCAGGCGGCAATGGAGGCGGCGCCGGAGATCCGGCCGTCGGTTTTCAGCGAAAGGCGCCGGCTAGGAAGGTTTCAGATATGCGCTCTCTGTACTTGCTGCGGAGGCCCCAAAGGTCTCTGCTTTGCTTCTCCTTGTTGCTATGCAATAAACTGCAATATACCAAACAGGCCCTTTGGCTTCTGCTCATTCATTCCCAAGACTTGTAATTGCTTCGGATGTCATCTCTGATTTCTCTTGTTTTCCAATTCGATTTAACTTTTTTTCTCTTGATTTGTGTTCTGAATGTTGGTTTCTGTATCGTTAGGTGGAGTAGATTTCTTAAAGTTGTGTTTAATGTTTTAATAGTTGTAATAGTGATATTTTTTATGTGATATGGAAGATTTGATAGGTATAAATATAAAAAAATAAAGTATAGGGAAGTCTTATATGTAAATACATATATAAGATTATTGGATGCGACGCATACTCAGATTAGTTGGTCGGACATTTCTTGTCAGTTGTAAGTCCTCTCTGGCCTTAGTTTCAATTCCCTCCGGTGGAGGGTGTGATACTCGAATTGTCATCCGCATCAGGGATCGCCGAAGCCCGTATAATAGTCTCCGGCCTTTTTAGAAAAAAAAAAAAAAAAAGATTATTGGATAAATGGTAAGTTTGTACATCTCCTTAAAATAAATCAAATTTACTCTGAAAGGGAGATTGCATGTGATTTGTGGTATGAAAGGTGAAAATGCAGTTATATGTTGAGATGGGCATTAAGAACTATTGTGTGGATGGTCGCTGGAGAGGACTGTACTATTAAATTTCTATTATAAGATGGGGATCTGTTATGAGATTTCATGTGAGGTGGCCTATTTATTGGTTGTATATTTGTTTCCTTGTATATCTAACATCAGCCCCGCAGCATTTATAGAATGTGGCAACGTGCATGAAAGGGAGGTATTATTGATATTTTTTTTTCAATGGGGTGTGTTTGAGTGTTCATTTTGGCCTGAAGAAAAAATGAAGCATTCTTTGTTTCTACAACATATTTATATTGATTATTGCACACATTTGTTCTATTTGTGTACATAGCATATCCCAAAAATTAATGAGATGAAAGATGTGGAAAGATACATCATCAACACATTTTCAACTTCTGAGACGGATCTCAAGACATGACACAATCTCGAGATAATTTTTTGAACAAGGAAAGTTCAAACTTCAATTAAAAATCATCTAAAATTTTGATTTTAACAAACTTATATTCAAACTGATCAGTTCGACGAGGTAAACTGAACAACACCAAAGTTAGTCCAATCTGAATCAAATCAAGCCAAGAACTGTTAAGTCATTTTTGGAGACTTTGGGTTTAATTGGAAGGCCAAGCAAGTTCAAAATCTGACAAGCTATACTCGAATCGACTGTCTCAATGAGACGAATCCAACGAGCTCAAGATCATTCAATTTTGACATTGTTATAGCACCCAAACGTTTGCAGATCATCATCTAATCAAGTGTTCTCTCTAGGTCGTCCAATGGATTGGTTCAAATTCTATCCTTTTATTGGGAGACCTCTCTTAGACTCTATAAATAGAGTTTTACCCATTTTATGAAAGGAGACCTAGACCTTAAACCAGAAGAAGCCCGGGACTTGGAGGAGAAGAAGCTAAGGTTCAGTACTCCACACCGAATGTCCAACGAACGCCACTGACTCCTACAACTGCCAACCATCGTCAGCCATTGCTCGTCGACCATTGTCGACCACCTTCGGGTGTCCCATGCTCATCGCAACGAAGCCTCTTACAAAATCATGACGTGTGTTGTGGAATCCCGACATATGTTATGGAATAACTAAGCATCCTATGGAATGACGCCTCCTGAAGACTGTGTAAGTACGCACGCCATAAAAAATTACTTATAATTGTCATACTTAGTATACAGTGACTTTCTCCAAACTCTTGAAGCTCTCTTATTGCAGCCCATCATCATGACCTACATGACTAAGTATGGCCTATGTGGTCCAAGTCCATGCAGCTCCCAACTCTGGCCTCTGCAATTGACAGGTATTATCACAACTCATGTGGCTCACAACTCTAGTCTCTGTGGCCTATGGATGTTACCACAGCTTATGCGGCTCCCAACTCTAGCCTCTATGGCCTATGAGTGTTATTGTAACTCCTCGCTACGACTTATGTGACTAACAACGACATACATGACATAACTCACGTAGCTCCTAACTTCGGCTTCTACGGCCATTAGATGTTACCACAATGCAGCTCTCAAATCTAGCCTTTGAGGCCTATGGATATTTTTGCTCATGACCTTTATAAATAGGGAGAGATTGACGCTTTTATTATCTGCATTTGTTTTTGAGTCTGTGTGTCTCAGTCGGTCAGCTTCAAGAGCACTTTCACAATGTACACCACAAGCATCCCGAAGGACCCCCTCAATAAGAAAAGAGATATTTATCATGTCATGGTGATTCCCTGCTGCCCAATAGCTCGCCCGACCCGCAATTATGCCGATATTTATATTCCTTAATATGTCAAAAACTTCACCCAAATTATATTTAGCGGCTAGTGAGAATAAATTTAATATGATAAAATTTAAAGAAATAGTTTTCTCACTAAGGGTACTAAATAAGTATACGTATCGTTTCAAGTAATAATGATTTTCAATAAAAACCCCAGTATCGATCCCACGGGGAAGCTAAACGAAAAAGAATGAAACAAAATTTAGGAATTTTAACTTTAGGAGAACTTTACTTAGACTGCAACAAATATCTAAATTAATGATGATGAAATTAAGTTTACTAATTTTTGCAAATGTAAATAAAAGTAAATGCAATGATTTTAGAAAATATATAAAAAGAGAGTTTCTCCTTCCAAATAATTCATAATCAGTGTAAAATTTCAAATGTTTAGAAGTTTAAATGTGGTATTGTAACAAATAGAAGCATATATATTCTTTACTTCTTTCGATGTGTAAAGAACATTGACTAATTTAAAGTTGGCGTCGGCATGTAAAATAGTGTTGGGTGGGTTCAAGTCTCTCACTCCTAGATTACCCACCGTGCCCTCTCTTTAGGACCTACCAGTGACCCTTATTTCCAATCTCTAGACCAAATTGATAAAAGAATCTAGTCAATCACTCTAAAAACATCAATTCTACGCCCATCAAATCTTATCTCCATATCTATTTGCACCCACCTCAGACGATCGCGACTACGCTTTCCAAAGTGAAATGTGATACTTACAAGTCAAGAAATCTTAGCCCTCTCGGGTCTATAAGCTTCCTCAAAAAATTTTAACAATGCAAGTAACAAATTTGTGAAGTAAATGAAGGTTCGGTAAAAATATCATCACAATTTTCAGGAATAAAAAAAGTTCTAAACAAAATCAAAATCACTTACTTGATTAATTCATATTGCAAGGAGAAAGAAAGAAAACTACTCAAAATGCAAGAGCTCGAAAATGACCAAGAGTTGCTTTAGATATCTCTTCAAAATTCGGCCTCATTCAATGAATCTTCTAGAAAATAACTGAGGCGCCTAGGCTTTAGTTCTGTTGGTTTGGCAATTTTTTAGCTCATTTTGCTCATTTTTAATATATTTTTGCTCATTTTTACTCTTAAACTCTTTTTCTTGCACCAACAATCAAAAATATAAAAATACATTTCATTAAAACATAATATCCTAAAAAATTGAGCATAAAATCTGCATTAAAATATGTAAGTTTAAGGTGGATCAATAGCCTAGTCTCATTCTACCAACAGAAGCTCCTCATCCAGGTATCAAGGGTCGATAGTCAAGCTAGCTCAAGCCAATCAACAATGTCTGACCGACCAAAATAGTCATGTTGAGCATAATCGAAAGCAGGTCATGCCGAACCAAGGCCCCACGAGTTCAATCGACCGAATCAAATGGTAACCGAGTTGTAGGCTCATACATGAAAAATAGCTAAAATATCTTGAAATGCCCACATTAAATTAAGGGAAAACATGTAACTTCACGTATTGTACCCTCTTATCTATAAATAGAGAGATCATTTTATAAGAAAAAACTAATCGATAAGATTATTGTTCATTACTATGCACTTCTCTCTCTCTTTATATATATATATATATATCATGTCATGTTTTAACTCTTGAAATGTGATTCACGGACAAATTAAGATTCAACGTCCTAAAAAAATTTATTTATTGAGTGTTTACATCAATTCTTAGCTTAAAGCGTAAATTGAGCTATGTTAAAGGCTTAGAGAGGAAACTTAAATGATTTAGGCATGTTGTGTGTGTATATGGTAACATGAAAGTGTAAATGATAGATGATGATGAAGAGTGATGAAGACGATCATTAACCTCCCTCTGCACTGAAATCAAAAGATTAGAATTCTTAGATCAATGATGAAATTTTAAGAAGATGAAGAAAAGGATGAAAAGAAAATTGCAATGGATTCATTATAATTTAAAAGTCAATGAGGATAGCATAGTGAAGGGAAGCCGATGTTGTTGATGTGGGTAGAAATACATGGCGGAACCTATAAAATCAAAGTGTAAGAGAAAAGAAGAAGAAAAAAACTAGTATCTCTTATACTAGAAATAAAATGAATTGCATACTTGAATTAATTCAATAAAGTTTTTTAATTCATATGTTATTAATCTCTAGTGTATATGTGACCTATTAGATGCATAGATATTTTACTAATCATACTAATCTATTAATTTTGGCATATGTGAATATACCATCTACATACTTTTAGTTATACAAGTCATTTATATATGAATCTTTATATTATTAGCTATTGCACATGTTGAACTATACTGAGCGGTATATAGAGATCATATGTTGTATCCATAATAGTTTAGTATGAACTTAATACATAACTTTTCTCTTCTTATATGTCACCATATGCATATACGTATGAATTAATCATATTAATCTATATAATTATTACGGTATCAATCTATTTCAAGTGACATTATTATAGAAGGGTACTATTAATTCAAGTTATGCACTTTTTAATTTACTATAAAGCAAAGAACACATTGAATGACTTGTAGAGCCCTACCATCATCATAAAATTAAATCAATCCTTCTTATTTAAAAAGAAGAATTAGAACATAGAAGTACAAGTGTCGATGAAAATTGATGCCAGTCGAGGCAATTCTTTTGAAAGGAAAAGGGACTAAACTACTGTGAGTTGGATGATAACTAAGACTCTGTTTGGGATCACTTTTATTTTTTGTTTCTTAATTTTAATTTTTATTTAGTTTTGTTTATGTTTAGATTTGAATTAAAGCATATGTGGTTGTTGTAGTTCATTTTAAAAACAAGCAAAACATCATTTAGGCGAATTGAGTGTTTTTTTAAAAACAAGGCCATTTGCTTTTAAATGCAAAAAGAAAAACATATAAAAACTATACTAACATGTCTTCAAAAACAATTGTAAATGTATAAACAAAAATAGAAAACAAAAATGATGTAAAGTAAGCCCAAAGAGTGTGAATTGAACAATAGCAATTTATTGATGACAATTGGATTTAAGAACTCATTGAAGTATCAATGTGAGATTCTCAATCATATCATGTAAGCTTACAATACAATATTGAATGATGATTAAAATTTCTAGAAGAGCAATTTCAGAAAGAGAGGTTTATTTAGGACTTTCTTAATGGTCTTTGTCATTTGGTGCTCGACCCAAAGTTGATACAACCGATGAACCAGACATCTAAAGATTCTTTTTCATACTTCAAAGTGATGTAGAAAGCAAGCGAAGGTGATCTTCATGATAAATAAGATGATATGGATGATTAGTGAAGCATGGTCTTATTTTTTTCTTACTTTTAGCAGTATCACTCTTCTTGATATGATAATGATCTTTTCATATGCACTAAAAATCTAGTGTCTTCTTAATTTTTTTTTAATGAAAACTAAAACTCTAGCTTTGCCCAACTTAAAATGATGCTCCCTGTTTATGTATTCGATAAGTTGTGGGACATTGCTTTATTGGATGGACAAACAATGGAATTTTGTAGCACCCAATATGTTTGAACAAATAATAGGTTTGTATGGAAATGAACGAAGACTGGGAGAAGTCAACTAACATTTATTAGCTGAATAGAAACTCAAATATATGAGACTTTTTATGCAATCTATACTGAAAAGAAATACTTCCAAATGTGAAAAATTCAGTTTTCTGCATTTTACGTATGAGACAGCATCTTTCCTTCAAACTTATTAGGAAGACTTATGTGCATACCACTCAATTCCTATGAATTTACACATCTAACGCCTAAACTTCATTTTTTACTCATAAATTCCTATGAATTTACACATCTAACGCCTAAACTTATTAGGAAGACTATATATGCTATGCCACATTAACTATGCATAAGAAGATGTGTTTCACTTTCTAAAAGTTAAAATAGCGATAGTTTTTATGTGATATGAAATATTTGAGTGTTATTAATGTAAAAATCAAAATTTAGGAGTAAGATATGTAAATACTTAAATAATAGAGTGTATGTATGCCAAAGCCCCACTTTTTTAACTTAAATGTCTTGTGCTACCATGAAAGTGGTATGGAGACTTTATCCTTCGTACCTTACTTAGGTTGCGCCCGGACAACGGCCGTGATACACTGATCACGACAATTTTTTTTTTCCCCTCAGACGCGATCAATGCATGGCGGTCGTTGTCTGGACACAGCTCTCTACGTCCGGACAACGTATGAAAGTTTTTTTCCATACTGGTGAGGACTCTTTGCTTTGGGTCGAGTCACTTCCAAACTGCTTAGAGGATTCAAAGTACCAACATTGTAACAGAAATATGGAGATTATAATTAGCGAGAAAGAATTCTAGGTCAACATCTCTATGATGTTAGGTTGATTGCTATCTTTTGAGAAATATTTTCATACGGAATACGCACGCAGTTCTGCTTGCGTGGTAACCTCTCAATTTCCTCCGTTTCACAGTTATTGGGGGGTTATTGGAAGATTATCAGAATATTAATTTCAATAACATATAAACCCAATAACCTTTCAATAATTTTCGTGGGTTCTATTTGGATGTTATTCATATGTTATTATGGGGGTATTGCAGGGTTAATAGAGTACGCATGCAGGTATTCCGTGGGGAAATATTTCCCCTCTTTTTACAACACAAGCAATGCAAAATAAAGTAGAAGAAACAGGGGAAGCAGAAAACTCATGGTTCTTCGAAAACATGTCAGTGAATTGGACAGATCTGCAGATTGGTTCGAAGCTTGATCAAGTCCTGGTGTACCTTCCGGAGTTGGCGCTTCACCATATGGATCACCTTCACCATTACTTTCAACAGAATGATATCTTTCCCACGCATCCAAAGCTGCATCGAATACCAAACTATTCAAGACAGAGAAATTCAGAACTTGGCTTAGATTTTCAAAAGGACTCACCTTGTTTCGATATTGTATGGTTTGAGTTATCAAAGCTGACTGGATACAGAAAATAACCAAGCAAATCTTTCTGCCTAGCAAACTTGATCTTCTGTTCCATGACTTCTAGACTATCAAAACTAACCCACAGACCTCCATTGTGAAAGTATGTAGATAATGTATTGTTATCATAAACTAGAGTTGAGCCGGCCTCCTTCAAGATGTTTTCAATCTCAAAGTAAGCCATGACTCCGCTTTGGTTGCTCATCCTCTGCCTTGGTCCTGTTGCGACCACTTGGGCTCCAAGTCCATTTTTTTCCTTGTTTTTGAGATACCATGATCTTCCATACAAAGGAATCCCCATTACCAGTTTCCCGGAAGAGATCCCAGAGTCAATCCAGGAGCTTATGCTGTAACTTGCAGAGAAGTGTGAGGTTTTATCTATAAGTGCTGCATCAGCTGCGGCTACCTTACTGTTCTTGTGGTAACCAAAGCAAAGGACATTAATCCAGTCAAGATTACTCGAAATGGCATTGATTGGGTAATCCAGATTGGTTTCCTGTCCATCGAAAAGATGATCGGAGAAATATACAGTTGCTGTTAGTAAAAGTGGTGGCTTTGAGTTGCCTGCTTCATTGCTTATTGAAGCCCTCCATTCCTCTAGTAAAACTCCGAGGTTATCCATGTCGGAAGATGAAGATGGGAACTCCCAAGCTAGATCTAGACCGTCGAAAGAATACATCTTTGCGAGTTCTACGGTGGAATTGATGAATACTGCGCGACGAACCGGGTCGGCGGCCATGTCGGAGAAGGCGGTGTTCTGCTCGTTGGCTTGATGGCCATCGGTTGCGAGAGATAGGAGTGTTTTCAATGAGGAATTTAGGGTTTTCAGAGTTGTGGAGAAGGTGAGGAGAAGGGGGAGTTGCTCCGGAGGTGGAAGAGTGATGCTCGAATCATCTGGATCGAGCGAGATGGAGTAGTAGTAGAGATGAGTGTACAGTGAAACATCAATGCTGGTGAGCGGAGAGTAATGGCCGGCGCTGGAGAGCCAGTAACCAGCTCTCACTTCATGAGTTGCTGCCATGGCGCCGAGCAACGGTGCTGAAAAATGGCAGAAAGACACTGCAGCGCTGAGGAAGATAATGAGTCCGAAGTAATGCATTCTTTCAAATTTGATTCCGGTAGAAGGAAGATGATGAGCATTGCTGTGAAGGGATCTCAGAGGTTTCTATCTCTGGTGGCCAGGTAGAAAGATTGGAGTTTTGTGATCGACATTTTCTGATATCCCTTTTCTTATATTCTTTTGAAAAGTTCATCCTTTGTTGATCCTTAAGGATGATTGGATCTGAAAATGGAAGAAGAAGAAGAAGAAGACAGGCTGGGCTTGCTTATCTGACACTCAGATTTGCCTTTTTAAACTAATCCCAATGAGAGCAGGTTGTGCAACTTGCATGTGCTGGGTGGCTTAGAAAAACGGTTTCTTTTAAAAATTTTTTTTTTTAAATAACTTTAGGTAACGTTACTGTAAGTTAAAGCTGTTTCAGACTGAGAGTAGTTGTTGAGCTCTGTACCTTCCAAGCTTCCATGACTGTTCAATTTGGCTCCAGGTTGCTGTCTGGTACTAATAATACTGTAGTGATTTTATTTTAGAGGCATTTACATATATAATTACAAACCAGCCAATTCTTATATATTTACTTATATATTTGCATGTAAATCTTCCAATTTTAGTGAATGGCCCACTTCCCATGTGCTTCCTTTCCTTTACAACTTTTGAACAAATTTAATTGCAATAAATATGTGAATTTTAATGAGGGAGCAGAAACTCCCCAACCATTTTAGGCATGGGATGGTCAATATTTTGTCAGCGTTTCAAGTGGAAGGCTGCTCTGTTGAAGCATGCAGTAGTGGTGGCAAAGGTTTGTGACATGGAAGTGGATTGGTGGGGAAGACTTTACCTGCTTTATGTGCTTATTAGCTGGAAAAATGAGGCATTTTTTTGCTGATTTTTGCATAGATGGACCTGAGCGCAGTGTCTCATGAATTTAAATTAAATCTGTTTGTTTGAGTGTTTTGAAAAGGTCCTGAACAAATATCTCTTGAGAAATTATAATGTGGCATTTTTATACATGCCACCCAATTCCTATGAATTTACATATCTAACACTGAAACTCGAGTTTTTACATTTATACCACGCAAGTCTTTCATGTCGCATAAAAAATATCATTTTTTTTTTACTTTTGAAAAGTGAAATACACCTATTCATTTTCACCTTTTCATGCATAAGTGAGGTGGGGTATATGTAGAAAATGAAATTTAGGTGTTAAATATATAAATACATAGGAAATAAGGGGTATGTTTGTAAATCTTCCAATTTTAAAAGCTTTTTTTATTTAAAATTAAGTCAAATTTTGAGCCGACAATCTTCTAAATTATTACATTTAAATAATTCATGAAGTATAAACCTTCGTTGATTTGTGATTTCTTCAATTGTTTAATAAATCTCAAACTAAAAATTATTTTAAAATTTTATAGTTTAAATTTACAAACTAATAAACAAGGCCTATGATAAAAATGTCATTTTTCTGCAAATTTTCTCCTCGTTGTGCTTCTCATTAGTTTTGTTGCTAGTCAGTCGAGAGAGCAAAATAGGTATAGAGAGAATTATCAAAGTAACATCGTAATACTATTGCTTTCATCCTCACCGAAACCATACATTAGAAATCCTATATTATAACAAGTAACAATGAAATGTCAATGAGATGTAAATGTAAATGAAATAGAGGCTACTCCCCTGTCCACTATTGTCGCAGCAGATATATGGAGAATGTGGAGCATTGTACGGAGTCAGTTATTACTCCCATGCAAACTGATGTTCGTGAGGACGAACCATTAGCTTGGATTTGCGAGAGATAAATATGTACTTCGGTAGAGTCTTTGTAAGAATATCAACTTGTTGGTCAAGGAAATTGAGGTATTTGAGCTGAATTTGTCTCTCGTCTTTGTGTTCTCAGATAAAGTGATAGTCTATCTAGATATGTTTGGTTCTAGCGTGAAAGACTAGGTTAGTTACAATGGATATGGCAGAGATGTTATCACAATATATTGGAGTAGGTGTGGAAGGTTGTAGTCTGAATGCAGCCAATACTCTTCGCAGCCATATGACATCCGTGGTTGTCGAAGCAAGGGTTCTATATTCGAGCGGGCCACACTTGTTTGTTTCTTTACGGTCTAGGAAATGAGTGCATTACCTAGGCATGTGCAGAAGCCTGTTATAGATTTTCTCTTCATGGTGTCATTTGCCCAATCGACATCAACATGGGTGTGAAGTAGAAGGTTCCCCAAGGGTAGGTGCACGCCAAAATGTTGTGTGCCTTTAAGATATTTAAGAAGGCGAGTCACAAGTTGAAGTGGCGATCGATCGGGGAGTGCATATGTTGACACAATTGGTTGACCACAAACAAAATATATGGCCTTGTGAATGTAAGATACTGAAGAGATTAGTAAGTTGATGATAGAAAGTGGGATTGCGAAAGAGTTTACTTGATTCGAGAGGGGGGTTGTCTATTGCTTGAGAGGTAAGGCAGTATCAATTGGGTCACATTCTATCATGCTGGCAATGAAGAGAATTTGAGATATGTACTGGGATTGTGAAAGAAACAAAGAGGTGGAGTTCGGTTTGCCAATATACCCAAAAAGCATGAGATTGGCCCAAGATGTTTAGGTTGGAACTTGGAATTGAGTTCCTCCACAAGTTGAGATATGATCTTTGATTGACTACCTATTATATGCATGTTATCTCCAAATTGAAATCAATATCACAATTCTCTCTATAAAAAAATATGGATGTTTATAATTTGTTAGAGTGACATTTTCATAAATTTAATCAAAATATCAAAATAATCAATGAGATAAACTCATTAGTTTCTTTGATCACACATTATTTTTCACTTTTAAGTGTTTTAATGACCACATAATTAAGTGATTTTGAGTTCATTAGTTTTCTCTTATCGAGTTGAATTACAAATTTAATGGAATTAAAAAATGAATAATCTTGAATTTAATTTCATAAAATTTCAACCAAATATTGCATCGAAATTCACACTAATTAAGTATTACTTTATTTAAAGTGAAATACATCTTTTCTTGCATCTCATATATATATATATATATAGTTATATAGTTATAGATAGTTATTTATTTATTTATTTATTTATTTATTTAAAGGTGAAATCGATTTTTGGTCCAGTGGGTACCAAATATCGATTCCCCCAGTTGAAAACTCTGGTGTGCTTGTTCCTAATTCAAAGAGCCCCCAGCCATTGGATTCGAACCCCCGACCCGAGGGACTTACGCCAGAGGCCGCACCAATGATATATATCTATATATATATATATATATTAATGATAAAAAAAGGGAAAAAAAAGGCAATGCAGAGCACCTGAAATATTTTTAAACCCTCACATGTGGCAGATGAAGATGCTACAATCAGACGAAGAGAACAAAAGTATTGGAGCCACTTTGCATCAATTTTCAAAGAAGGATCTTGACCACATCTATAATCACATGAATAAATAAATTCAGTCCTTGTTAAGATTGTCGGACACAAATGGAGGAAATAGGGGCTTTCTTTTTGCCTCCTCACGTTTGGAAAAGCATTTTATTTATTTTTTCATGTTTAATTAAAATCGGTGCATTTACATACATGCCACCCAATTCCTAGTTATTTACATTCCTAAAATCTATGCATTACTTTCTACATTCACCACATAAATCTTTCAGACCATATCACTTTACTAGGTTTAGTATTTATCACATTAATGCACAAGCTGCCACTTTTCAGCCTAGAAATGAATATATTCATAAATTTTATGAACTCAAATGATTTCTATTTATCTCTGCTTCCAATCCCAGCAAACAATCACTTAAACAATTTTTATAATGGAAGTACAACTAATATTAGAACCACCACAAAAGGCCTACTTTTCCTCCAACAAAACTGTGATGGCTTCTTAGAAAATGCTATATTGCAGATCAAGGAAGTAGAAGTAGAAAGCAGCAGTAAGTATATAAAAGATGATAAATTGAAATGGATTCAGCGCCGGAGTTATCAGACAGAGGAGTGCCCAGACCTGGGGTGAGCCCACCGCCGCCTCCACCGCTGTCGGTATCGCCAAATCCTGGACCTGTCGGCGAGCTCGTGGAGGGGGTGTTGCTGTTGGGAGTTGTGGAGCCTCCAGCAGTTCTGCAGAACAAATAATTTTCATTATCAGGTTTTGTGATTATGTGCTTTTTCTAATTCATATAACAAACATCTATTCACACCCCCAAAATAAAGAAAATATATTGCGTCTGGAGTCTAGATGAAGAGCTGCGTCCGGACAATGGACGTGATACAGCAGGAAGGAGAGGAGCTCAAACCTCCATTGTATCACGTCAATTGTCCGAACGCAACTTGCGTCCGTAGTCCGGACGCAATATTTTCTCCAAAATAAAGGGCATGAATTGCATAAGTTTTTATGTTATTGAATATTGAATTATGTTGGCAAAGAGTGTATTCTTATAAAAGCAAGAAAAGAGAGCAAAAAATAAAATTAAATAAATAAATAAAAGAGAATATCACTTACTAATAATAAGGATATATTATAATAATAAATATTATGAATTGATATATGTGATGATATCGACATTCTTAAGTATGATAACCCTACAACTAATAATAATATGATATTTATGTGATTTTATTATTTTTAAGAAGACATATAATCAAGTACTTTCAGAATTGATTTGGTGTGCTTTAAGGTTAAGAGGTGTTTCTCAAAGATACATTGAAATTGTTAAATATATTATTGTGATGGAGTACTGATTAGTATTAGAAATAATGGTGGAGAGACCCAAGATTTTATCACTTGTTATGTATCATTTGGTTTTACTAAAAAAATTTAAATTTAGATGCCTACGAAGAAAATATTTAAAATATAGATACTCGGTGCCGACAATTATCTTGAAAAATAAGATGATAGGTCTAAGTATCTTAAATCTCTTATGTGCAAAAATTGAAATATATATGGGTATATAGCTTTTGAAGTTAAGCTCAGATGATTAAAATGGATAAGTAACTCAGAAGTCTTGTGACAGAAGGATATCATGAATGCTTAGAAATAAATTTTATAAAAACAAAATTAGGTTGATGATAATGTATATATTTGAATATTCAACTATGAAAATGTCATTAATATCTAAGTTGAGTTTGGTATGAATAATAATATAAAGATAATGATGAAAAAACTAAAAAGTAGACATAAATAAATGATTGTTTTAGAGGAAAGTCTCAAGTGACATCTTTTAAAAATAAACTTAAGTAATGGCGTGGACATATGCAAAGGCTATGATTTAAGATTATATCCGTTGAAACAGTTCAAAATAATAAATGATGTGGAAATAATATATTTAAAATCTCAAACAAAACTCATCATAAATGAAGTAAAAATAGGAATTCACAATGGTCGCCCTAAATAATTGGGATAACATTATTGATGATGATTATTAAGATAGAATAAAACCTAGAAACATATTATTTAGAAGGGCTAATTTCGAATTATTACTTGAGTGTTTCAAGAAAGTTCTATTCAAATTATATAAATTTTGGGTGAAGCTATAGTTTTGCATCAAAAACAACACCAAAAATTTCTAATTATCGCCTAAACACTCATAAACAAATATATCAACTATTTATGAATTGATTTCAACCAAAATGAATTCAAAACCACCAAAACTAAAAGCTGTGCTTATAAGTATTCTACTTGGATAGCATTCTCACATTGAATTAGAAGTCTCGCATTCTCTAGCAATGTTGGTCATCATAAAGGTTGCATGTTTCAAAAGTTGGTTTCATATCAGCAACACCTTCATTCAAACATCCCTTAAATCATGGTCAGTTACTTGGCTCAGAAAATATTAAATCCTTATAAATTGAACTGCCTATAAACATTACATCTACTTGCAAATCGTAATTATATAGGCTCCCTAAAATAGGTTCCTTGAAGAACTCTGAACCGTTTTGATTCATCCACATCAAGATGTGTGCTAAAATGATAAAGTTTGCAAATCGAGGGAAGCACCAAGAGAAGACATTCCCAAAACCAAAATTATTTGATTTTCAAGCTCGACAAATAATTATCCAGAATTCATCAAGCCCAAAATAAGATTTGAATAATTCTAAAACGTTCAATATATTGGTTAAAGATTCAAACTTCGAGGGCATCATCATTGCTCGATCTCAACATTTCAAAATTTTTTCATCGACATAAATAAACAATAGCAGAAATCTCACGAAAGTGCTCATCACGCCAAAGGGTAACAATCTCAGAGAACAAAAGAATAAATTGTTGGAAACAACTGCAATAATACATTATTTACAATTAAGAAAATCCCAAGAACAAAGTAAACAAATATGCAAAAAATGCAAACCTAATAAAGCAGGATTAACTCTTTGCCTATACAATAGAGAACTATGCTCTCAGGTCCACTTCTAATCGTGATTAGGAGGAAGTTTTGTGTAGAATCAACGCACTCCACTTAAAAAAGGACTAAAGAAAACTAAAGAGTAAGGACAAAACTAAGAGGAAAAGCTGAGAAGTAGTTGAAAATTCTTTGATCCAACCAGAGAAGCTAAAATTTTTATGCTAAACTTTTGGACTTCTGGTAGAAACCAACCCCACCACCTTAAATTCGCACAATTAGAACAGAGAAATAAGATGGAATCCTAATTATAGTTGTTGGGCTTCAAATTGTTGAATATTAAGGTAATATGTTTTTTATCAGATTAAAATAGAGATAATAACAGCAAAATAAGGTCAGCACTAGTGAAGATTCCAATCAATAACAACAACAACAATTCCAACAACAACAGCAAAATAAGGCTGCATGAATCCTTTTCCTCCATTGCGTCCTATTTAGTGCATATTTTCATTTAGTTCTAATAAATTAAGATCATTTTTTATACAATAAGCCCAAGTCTTCCTAGGTCTACCTCTGTCTTTCTTAACACAAGTCGAACCTAAAACATCTACTCTACTAATTGGATCTTAATGTGACCAAACCATCTAAGAAGACTCTCTAATTTTGTCCGTCACTAGAGCTACACCAACCCTATCATGGAGATATTCATATCATTTTGACTAGTGAAGATTCCAATCAACGAGGAAAAAATATCACTTTGTAGAACTCAATGCCAAAACTTTAATGAAGTTGGTAGATCAAAATTCTGATGATTTGATGGACCAAAATATCTTTAGGATGTCTTGTGGATCAATTTTAGGGCATTTGAAAAATAACAGTGATAGGCAACCATTTTTGTATAAAAATATTCATCCACTTGAAAGATATTATTTGTGTCAAAATGACTCAAAAATTAGAAGTCGGTAGAGGTCATCAAAACTCTAGTGGATTGCTTAAGGTCCTCCAACAGGTCGAAAATGGTGGCAATAATAGTGGAGATAGCCCCTTCCATGCATGTCATATAAGACTTAGGTGAGGCAAAGAAATAGATGGGTGAAACTTGGTTCACAGTCTGGTTTTGATCGGTTTTAGTTGGTTCAAACCTAAAATGTGCTTGAATTCAAATAAATTTGGCAATGTTGGAATGTCTCACTATAAATTTGCATTATGCAGGGCCGTTTAGTCCATAAAATAAAGTTGCAACTAAAACTTTTAGACAGTTCAACTCTTTTAATTATTTTAAATGTCTTGAAATACTTGCTTTGCACAAAAAATTATATGTAATTGAAAAAACCTCTTTACAATTGAGGAAAAAAAAATATAATCCCCTCGGTAAAACATGAAGTTAACATAAAGCCACAACATGACTTCGGAAAATGATGAGAAAATGATAAATTTCTTCAATGTTGTTTGATAGTGAATACCGATTAAAGGGCGTAAATGACTATTGATATTTTCAAACATGGCATGGCTTAATGCACACCAATATCCTCCCACTATTAGGTAAAATAAAATCATTTTATTCTTGGCTCAAGGAAAATTCTCTTAAATTTATTGAATTCCTTGGTCTAGAAGAACAATTTATGACTCGGACATTAGAGCGGCTTCCAAAAGATGATTTATTGGGATAAACTTACCCTTTGTTTAATTGAGTGTATGTAGAAAACAATTCAAAGTTAAAAATGTAAATCAAATCATTTGCATCACAATCACAAAATACTTTTTGACACGCAACAAATACCATCTAAAGTAGACATTATATGATCTGATAAGTTGAAACAAATCAAGTATTGCAAGTTGAGCGCAGAGCAAGAGACCTTTTGAAGCTTTGAAGCCGGACAATTAGCCCAACCATTGAGCCACGACCAACATCAAGAACACAAATACGACATAATCTAATAGAACCATAATTTTTCACTGTCTCCAAAGAACACAGTGGAAGACATGGATTTAAATAAGATGCTAATTTGAGTAAAGGAAATAATAAGTTTTTTAATGAAAATAAAAAACATACCTTGTGGAGGAAGGGTATGTACAGGATCCATAGCCTGCAAAATCACCATAAAGGAGCAAACATTTATTTTAATACCAAGCTCCTTTACAAAAGAAAAGGCTGAATGCTCTTTAATTTGTAAGTTATCAACCATTAAACATAAATAAAACTGATTTTTTTTTTCTTTCTTCTATTCAATAAGCAAATAGTAAAAGATAAACAGCACAAGTCAGGCTTATGAATTTATGAAGGCACCTTTTAGCATAAATTTGCTGATTTTTTAAAGCAATTCTTTCTCATAAATGAAGATTTCTTATGATTAGTTGAACAAGAGAAAAATGGAATCAAACGAAACCCAAACAGGTTTAGGTAAAAATGTTGTCAAAAGAGATCTAATTGGAAAAAAAAAATTTGATAAAGCCAATAAAATTAGAAAAGCTATATAACTGTTCAAAATAAGCTAAGAACAAGAAAATTTGAGCAATCAAAGCATCAAAATGAGATAGAAAAAAAGCAGAGAGAATGAAAACCTTGCTCCAAGCAAGCTTCCATTATCAAACTTCGAGCTGGAAAAGGAAGCATTTCCTTCCAAAAGATGAGGGCAAGATGAATCAAAGAAAGATATTTTCTTTTGAAAGAAAGATAGTCACTTGCAAGAGAAAATTAAGAAAATGTTCAAATATTGAGAGGAAAAGCCAAGCTCCACCCAGAAAGAGGAGAATTACTGATGCTGGAAAAAACCCTAAATTCGCCAAAAAGAGGCGTTGCAATCTGCAATTAAGCTTCCCGTGTGCTGAGCCCCCCGCATACTGAAGCCAGCCTCTCGATTCCCTCAGAATCACCCTCCTGAATTATTGAAGAAGTTTTACATACATAGGGCTTAGGTGCTCCCAGATTTAAGGTATTAGGATTTAGTAAATCTGGAATAGTTCAAATCTGGAAAATTATCTGGCAACAAATTTAGTAAATCTTGTAAATTTAATAAAAATGTTTGACCAATTTTTCCGGGATTTAAGAAATCATTATGGCTGTTGGAGATAGTCGAAGCCCATAAAGTTAGATCCCAATTCCCGCGAAGTTAAATCCACCAGTTCGTGAGATTTAGAAAATCAGAGATTTACAACCGAAATTAGCAAAATCCGGATTTACGACATCCAATAAAATGACCATCTGGCAGGATTCAGCTTAAATCCTATTGGGTTAAATCCATTTTCAAACAATCATTAAATTCCTATGTACTTACATAACTAACACCTAAACTTTAATTCTACATGTATCCCAACATATCAAAATGCATAAAAACATGTATTTTATTTTTAAAAATTAAATTACTTATATTTTTAATATTATAGGAAAGATTTTAGTGGTATAAATATAAAAAATAAATTATAGGTGTTACATATATAAATACATGGGAATAGGATGGTGCGTATGTATTTGCCAACAAATTTATCGACCCAAAACGTTTCAAGTTTAAATTCACCCAATACTTAATGATTGAGGACAAACATTTCTGAAGGCCAACTATCGCATTATACCTAAGGTGTGCCAAAGAGAATAAAGTCAAAGAAGTTCTCAAAGAAATACATTCCAACCATTGTGGGAGTCATTCCGATGTAAAGATGTTGGCTCACAGGATGTAGCGGTAGGAATATTTCTTGCCGACACTGCAAAAGATATCAAAGTTTTCTCAAGAAGGTACAAGTAATGCCAAACTTTTGCAGTGATGCAATACTTGTTATCCCACAAACTATATCCCTTCGTCAGCCCATGGTCGTATGTCGTTTGGGAATTAGACATACCTTTCTGTCTGTCATGAGGCTAGCAGAAGTTCTTGCTCATCGCAGTGGACTACTTATTCAAGAGGATTGAAGTGAAAACACTCGCCCAAATCACTACCTAGGTCATTCAAAACTTCATTCAACCGGTCATGATCTACCGATATGGTCCACCACTCGCCATCATTAGAGATAATGAGACCCAATTTGTCGATCAATGAGTGAGATATTTCTACCAAAGCTAAGGAATAAACTAGAATTTCACATCTGTCCATCACCTGCGAAGAAAGGGGCAAACTGAAGTCATAAATTAGATCATACTGAATTTACTAAGAAAGTATATCGAAGGAGTAAAAAACAACTAAACTGAAATTTTATCGTTCGTCTTAGGGTCAATTCGAACAGCCCTAAGCATTGTGGCCGGGTAAACACTATCCATGTTGTCCCATGAAATGGAGGTCGTACTACGAGTTCAATAGTACATTCACAACCAAAGGGAGATCGTAGCTTCCATGTATGACGAAAAAGACATGATTGAATGACAAGAAGAAAATAACAAAGGAATAGAAAAATGAGCTAAATCAGCCCTCAGGCAAAAGAAGATAAAAAGAAGGATGACTCGGTACTATGACAAACATATTAGAGAAAAAACTTTCATTATCAAGGACCTTGGGTGAACAAATCTAACTCAACGACAAGCAAACAAGTGGTAGGAAAGCTCGATCAGGCATGAACTGGATCTTTTACATTAGCAAACGATCACTTTCAAAGCCTACAAGCTAAACACATATACATAAAAGAAAGTATCCTGCATATGGAGTAGATACAGCTAAAAGATATTTTACTCACAAACTACGTATCAATGTAATGATAAGAAATGAATGATTAATTCCCATTTCTTATCTTTACTAATCAAATTCAAACAATAAATGCGATATTTTTTAATTTGTGATCTCAGGTTCCACCAACACTTGAGAAACACATCCAAAGTTCATGCAAAAAAGCAATTAAATTTGACTAACACTCGAGGAACAAAAATTGAAATATCAACTGTGTTTTCACTTGAGTGGCTAAATTCATTCATCAACGGTGCTCACTATCTGAACGAGAATCTGCCTAAAATTTGACCTGTAACACTTATGTATCATAAAATTCTCATGTTTCTTGCCCTGAAACACAAGTCAAGCCAAAATGATTATATTTCCTCCTCACTTGCAACAATATTCGCAGCAAGAGGCGCATAAATCATCCTAGGGGGCAAGTCTGAATGGTTACCCCCAAAAAGTGTGTGATAAGAACTGGTTAATATGTGTGGCATAAAGTGCGGCCCATCCAAAGAGACGACTTATCTGATGGCTGAGACATGGGTGATATAAGAGTTGAGACCGGCAATCGTGTAGTAGGCGGTTTGATATCCAATGAATTCTCCTCGTTGTGTCAACCATTTGATTAAAAAAAATTATTACAAATGCCTGCCAAAATCAAGCAAAACATTCCACGATCCACCGCAACCTCTATTGTTTCTGCCGCCTCAGCCAACCTCCTCATTCTCGAGCTCGGAGTCACTCACCCGCATAGAGAACTCCATATCAACCCATTTTGGAGTACCTAGTCTAATTTTTGTCATATGGCTCACACCGTACAACACCCCCTCCTAGAATTTCTCTACAAGAAGAGCCTTCTATACGGTATGAGATAAAAGTTCGGCAAAGAACTCATCAAGTGTTTTCATCATAGCCACGTGTTTCTTTGGAGCCTGATTCTCTTCTTTCAGAATGAGTTCATCTGCTTTGGCTTGGTTCAACCTCTCTTCCACCTCTTCCATTCTCTACTCAAGCTCTCTTCATACCTCAAATTCCTGACAAATGTAGGCTGATTGAGTATTGTAAGCTTGCCCGAACATTGTTTGGAACTGATCGTACATTTGACATAGGCCTACCAAGCTCTCCCAAGTAGAGCCTCCTCTAAGCTCGGTGACTACATCACTTCAGCCATTGTAGAAGCATAGTGAGAGGCCACTAAAATCTTAGAAAACAAGTCCTTATGGAGGTCAACCAAGGTGAATCTGTCGTCCAAGTTGAGCCTCACTTTTGCTTCTCTATAGTGCATAGGGGTCCATTTCAGCTCGATTCCTCTACGTTTCTTTTGAGATGATAGAGGAGGAGAATTAACCTCAAAAAAAACCTCTCGGATATGCTTATAATGAGACTTCCATGACTCATCACCCAAGTTGGTCACAGAAGCCTTCCCTTTGTGGTGATGCTCCTCTTCAAGGTGAGCTGACTCAGGGTCTATTTGGGCAGCTGCAGCTTATTAATAAACTGCTAAAAAATAATCTACTGTTAAAAAAACTGCAGTGGCTTTTACAATTTTTTTTTATTTTTTTAGAAAAGCCCAGACCGTAGCTATAAAATTGTATAAAAAAACTGCAGTGGCTTTTACAATTTTTTTTTTTTTTTTGGAAAAGCCCAGACCGTAGCTATAAAATTGTCACCCATATAGGAAAGGTGTGAAACGCTGATTTCAGCGATTTGAAAGTGCAGCTTTTTGAATAAGCTACCAAAAAATAATTTACCCAAACGTTACTGAGTGTGTTTTCAAAACGCACTGCACCAAATAAGCTGCCCCAAACGGAGTCTCAGACAGGTTCAGGTTCACCCAACTAGCGATCTGCTCAACAGATGGACTTGCCAAACGTCCAGGAGATCATCTCACTGGAAACTCATTCGAGCCAATGAGGATAGGGCAGTTGGCCTTGTCTCTCATTGACAAAGGCATGAATTGGTGTTGTTGATTGGGAACTAATGGGCTTTGTTGCCTGTCCTCCCACTGAGATTTCCCTCTCATGATGGCTCAAACCTTCCCGGCTAACCATCTTTTTGCCATTAGGTTGGCCTGTGCTTTGAGAACCTGCATATGGAAGAGATCTTTTAACTTTCTCCCAGTAACTGAATCTTTTGATCCAAATCATATCATTTGTCCCAAACCCTTGAAAAATAATAGTAAAATGAGAAACCAAGTATACAACATTCATCCAGATGATTCCTACCAGGATTTCTACCATCGAAGCTTTACAATGCCTCTAGTCCAAGTTCCCCATCACCACAAATTCCTTTAGTTTTTCAGTCTTGACCAGCTCCTCGATCAGTTGTCTACATTCCTTTGTATCATAGCCATTATCCCTGTGATACTTGCAATACTTCCTCGTGTCCAAGAGAAAGGCTTCTACTCTCATTGGTGACACTTGTTTGAAGTACTTCGTATCTTAGATGGTGTC